AGCGTCAGCACACACACTTTATTCCCAGCCATGCAGAGCCTCTCGACAGCGGGCAGCTGCTCCAGCACCGATGGCACCTGTGTGAACTCATTGAAGGACAGACCCAGATAGACCAGCCGCTGAAGACGACCCAGCTCCACTGGGAGAGCAGACAGCAGATTCCCATCCAGAACCAGCGTCTGCAGACTGACACACACACACACTCAATCTCACTGTAGTGTCCAGCAGAGCAGCGAGAGTCACATGACCGTCTGACTCCACACCACACATCTAACCTGACACTTTTGAGTAAAGCGTTTCTCATTAGATGAGAACGAAAATATAGCAATCATTTTTTAGTTGTTCTTACAGTCACAGGGTTTGAAAAAATGTTTGAATAATTTAAAATGGACATTAAAATCTACATTGGGAACAATATCTAAAACTAAAAACTTGAAAGCAATATGAACTATCCAGTTGTTTAAAATGTGCAATGATTTTCTGTATTTATTTTTCTTTTTATATACCTCTGACATGTTTGGTTATATGTACTCTTGTTTGTACAATAAGCTCGGTTCTCCTAAAAAATTATTTTTTTTACATTTTGTATTATATATTACATTTATATTATGTAATATACATACGTACATTTTTTTTTTTTAATTCAATTTCAGGCAATTTTAGAGCAGGATTCACAGATGAATAGAAAGTTCAAAAGAACAGCATTTTTTTAAATATAAATCTTTTGTAACATTATAAATGTCTTTACTCTCACCTTTGATTAATTTAACACATCCTTGATGAATAAAAGTATTAATTTCTTTCCAAAAAAACCCCCAAAAAATCTTACTGACCCCAAACTTTTGAACAGTAGCGTATGATAATACAAAATAAATGCTGCTCTTTTGAACTTTCTATTCATCAAAGAATCCTTAAAAAAAGTGCAAAACTGTTTTCAACACTGACAATGATCAGAAATTGTAAAAAATATTAAACAATATAATTGTTTGCTGTATTTTGGATGAAATAAATGAATACTTGGTGAGCAGAAGAGACTTCCTTCAAAAACACTGGAAATATAACAGAAGTGTTTCTAATATTAAATGTTTTAGTATTATAAACAATTACTTTCACTGGACTGTGATTGTTAGACTTAATATTAGGCCTGTTGGTTAATATTATTCATAAAAGTAAAAATAAGGGAATGTTCCTCATAATAATATATTTGTAACATTTGAGTGCTTATGAAGATGAGTGTAGCTTCTCAGTAAGAGCAGGTCTGATTGGACGAGGCGTGATCATGTGACACTCACTGGCTCATGTTGGCCAGGTCGGGGTGGATGGAGGTCAGGAGGTTGCAGCTGAGGTTGACCTCCGTCAGTGTGCTGATGGAGCAAATGGGCAGCGGGAAACTCCCCAGCTGATTATGAGAGAGATTGAGGCTCCGCAGGCGGGAGAATCTGCAGAGAGATGACATCATCAGCACGCGACAATCACCTTTCCATCCGCATTGATGTCCTTAACGCGTCTAAGTGTTATTATTAATCGGATGAAATATCTAGGGCCATTTATTTTTTTCCCAAACTGCATGTTTTCGATTTTAATTTTTCTGGATTCTGTTGTCATGGTTTAATTAAATTGTAATAATCAAAAGGATGTCTAATCAATTGAATTAATAGAATGTAACAAGTTAATAACTTCACTAAATACTTTTCTTTTAATCAAAAATGTTGGCAACGAAATGAAAGCATATATTGTTTAACAATTTAATTAGTATTTTATAGATGTAATTAAGAAACAATTTTTATTTTTCGGCAAACAAAGTTTTGCTTACTGTTACAATGTAAACATGGGTAAAAAAGTTTGATCTTTCTTAAAAAACGGTTTTAATAATATTGCAATTAGTGCTGTCAAACGATTAATCGCATCCAAAATAATATATGTGTGTACTGTGTATATTTATTATGTATATATAAATACACACATACATGTATATATTTAAGAAAAATTATATATATTTAATATATTTATATATAATATAAATTATATGAATATAAATATATACACATGCAAATACATGCAAGTATTTTAAATATATATACTGCATGTGTGTGTATTTATATATTCATAATAAATATACACAGTACACACATATTATTTTGGATGCGATTAATCGTTTGACAGCACTAATTGCAATATTATTAATATTACTACTTTATAAGTAAATTCTATATTATAATACTGTACTATATTTGTCAATTTCTTTAAGTTAAAACTTTAACTGAACTATTATTTTGACATGTTTTAGTGGAGGCTCTTGATCGTCTGATGAAATCTCTGTAAGTATGATGGAACATCATTTGATTAGAGCAGAGCAGATCAAGAAAACATGGCAGAAGCCCTCGAGACGGACACAGTCTGACAGAAACCCTTCAGAAACTGAATCTCTATTTTTTTAAATTGACCCTTATGACTGGTTTTGTGGTCCAGGGTCACAAATACGGTTTGTATTTCATACTGAAATGGGCAGAATGTGAATGTGACCCAGTAAACGGCACTAACGCATGACGCGGTGATTCAGTCTAAACACACACGCGATCACATTAACTGAGGCTTTTCTAATCTGAGGCTCCCGGCGGACCGGACTCGTCTCACGGCACACAGCTGTCTCCGCTGGAAAATAGGCTGGCCTACTTGCGTTTGTTTGGGATGGTGCGTTCGTGGTGAAGTATGCTAAAGTAGGACTCCCAACTAGGGCTTTCTCACACACACACACACACACACACACACACACACACACACACACACACACACACACACACACACACACCTCGCGTGATGGGATGACGGGTGTCGTTTTCAGAGCAAATGTAGATCAGAGCAGTGAAGCGCTGGAGAATCTGGACAGCTGCACTTCAAGCCTCTGCAGTGTGAAGTAAGAGGTCAGACTCTAAATCACACACTGATTTATAACGTCTGCGTTTATATGCTCTAGTATGTTCTGCCAGAACATACTAGAGCATATTCCCCATTTCCCACCAGCCCTTGACAGTACGCTAGAGCTGAACCGGACAAGCATCAGTGGACTAATTTAAGTTAATGTCCAGAAAGTCCACATTGGGCAAAGTTTGAGTCACATGATCACAATATAAATGTCTGACAAACATTCACAGGACAGCTGCGTTTCAGCCTCCACATTCAGATCTGTTCCCGACAGAAACACAATGAAAATGCTTTAAATAAAAAAAAAAAAAAAAAAAATTGAGGATTTCACTATTTAATTAAGGCTGGGAAAATAAACCGATGCATCGCGAATCGAGAAATGATTCAGCATAGATTCTGAGATTTCCCGAATGCATGGCGATTCTTACTCGAGTCGATCCTGAGCTTAGTTTTGAACAGCAGATGGCGCTGCATGCTTTAGAAACATCTGTACTCCGCTTGTTTGTCATTAACCCCCCCCTGCAAATATCAAAACAATTTTTGAGAAAAGCTGCACCAAATTCAGTCATTTTTGGCCCCAAAAATCTGAAAAAAGGTCCTGGTAAACCCTGATGAGGAGATTATTACACTGCATTGTTCTCTCTATCTGTCTCTTCGTCTGCCTACTGATTGATTGATTGATTATATTAAATACATTATATAATATATATATTGTTTTTGGACATGTACACGATGGAAAAACAGTATTTCTTGAAGAACACTGTAAATTATACATGAATGTGGTAATCGTTCAGGATCCTGGTGTGTATCAGAAGCAGATTCCGTCACTATACCACCATAGTACTCGCTTATAAGGGCGTAAAAATGTTCTCTAGTGAGGGTTTAGATCAGCTCTAGTGTGTCAGCTCGTCTTATCTGTACAGGTTTGAGGTACAGAGGACGTCTCACACACCCTTCGCCGCCTGCCGGTGCCAGCGCAGGTGTTCGGTGAAGCTGTCGAAGCTGATGTAGTAGGTCTGACTCTGATGTCCCGCCGAGCTGAAGGCCAAACAGTGACTGTGTTTCTTCACCTCTTCCACCTGAACACACACACACACACAAGCTTACACCAGAGCGAAACACAGTGCTCACGCAGTGATGAGCGTTCATCAGCGTCACAGGTCTGTTTAGATCAGCTGTGATGGCTGACATGGCAGTCAGCACTCAATATTTAGTCTAGCAGTCTAGAACAGAAATAAACACTGAGAGACTATGAAACACACTCTGTTTGTTTAGCACTTCATCAAGTCTCAAAACCACCATAAAACTTTACACCTCACTAAGCAATGTCCACTATGCCTGTCCTCTCACTGTGCTCGCTGGTAAAGTAACCAGGATCTGGCCCATACGCAGATCTAATACATGTCAATATATACAATTTCCAGATATGAAATATATAGCCTATTGTCACATGACAAACAAACTTACATGAAACCTATTAAAAAAACTAAAGAATTTCATATATGAATATATATCTAGCCAAAAAAAATGATGTATGTTTATGTATGTGTAATACATATTTGGACACATTTCTGTTCATCCTAAAATCTATCATTATTATTTCATTATGTTGAAATTGCATAAGTAAATATAAAAGATAGACACTTATTAAATTCTTAATATATGAAAGCTGATAACCGATATGTTGGCCGATAAATCTAAATCCAAATATATCATATAAAATATATATAGCCTTACCACTTACCAGTATATAGTAATATCACTCTTGACATAGGACAATAAATATCATATATTACATTTCCTTATGGGTGGGAAATATGCTGCATAAACATAATCTGGTGTTCAGCACATGTGAGCAATATAAAGTGAATATTGTGAATATTGCAGTCAACTTAATTTTTTTTTCTTAAAGATTGGGCCAACAAATTAGTTCCAGATCCTGTCCTTTCATTCTTATGGTCTGCAAAAGTCTGAATCTAAATTAGAGCAGATAAGTTTCTTTCAGTAATTAACCAATTACACTAAAACCAATTTTAACCAGTAAAAGGGATCTGTAGGTAATACTGTCGAACGGCTGAAGAAAATCTGTTCTATTCTGACCACTGTGCGCTTCAGGAGGGATGCTGTAGGATAGTGCTGGGCAGTATACCGGTTCATACCGAATACCGGTGTTTATTTTTGTTATGATATGAATTTTTAAAATACCGCAATACCGGTGTATGTCGCTTAAACAACGTTCGGAACGTGACACTGTTTGAAAGGGGTCCCTTTTCACTGTTGCACTGTGGTGAGGGAACAGCTGTATGTGTTACTAAGCGTGAAAGCTCCGAAACTGAAGCTGTAGAACTAATAGAACGTGATGACACAGAAGAACTCATCCACAATATCCACATTGACCGCCACAAATATCCACCGCCCCTGCCATCAGCTCCCGCGTCTCACACACACGAGCGACTTTAGCACTAGATTTAGCAACTTTCAGACCCTTTTAGAGGCTTTTTCCCATAGAATATATATACTGACAAACCTAGCGACTTTTTTGGATAAACCTTAGCTATGGTTCAGTTGGAAGATTTCTCCAGTGCTGTCCCGCGAACGCGAGGCCTGACTTTCCCGGAGAAGTGTCACGTCTTTCGGCGTCTGTTCTGTGCAGTGAGCGGCAGAGAAGCACCGCAGCCGACTCCTCAATAAATGAGTACAAAACAGCGTTTCCTAGCACCTGTCGCTTACTGATTGTTTGGAATTATAAATATGAGCGTAGTTCGTCTGTTAATATCACATGCACTTTTTTGTTTGTTGTTGTTTTTAGTTTGTTACTCAGACGCAGGCAGTGCGCTGCATGAGACAAAAAAGTCATATAGCCAAAACAACCGCATAGCCGCTCTTTAGTGTAGATGCATGTTGATTTTATCAGACGATGCCGCGATTATAAATGAGTGACTCCTGGTTAACATGTATTAAAAGGGGTCGTGTTTAGTCACTATTTAGTGTGGTATTTTTTGACAATATTCACTCATGACAGTAAAATAAGTCAATATATTGCAGTATTTCCTCTCAATCAGTAGAAAATATGGTTAACACTCAGTCATGCATGAAAAAAAAAAATACTGTCATGTACCGTGAAACCGGTATAATTTTGAAAAATACCGTGATATAAATTTTTGGTCATACCGCCCAGCACTACTGTAGGATCACTGGTTTGGGACAAACATTCCCCACAGGATTATAACATGTGAGTTCATTACCTTTCCTCCGATCAGTGGCAGGATGTGCATCTTGCCCGTATGGCTGGCCTTCACTGAGGACACCATCAGACAAGTGCCACATAAAATCACCTGCCGTCGACTCCAGCGGTTCACCGGCAGCTGCAGCTTTCCTTTCCGTACGTTATACGTTCCAGAGAGCTGGATGCGCTCAGAGCTCTCGATGCTGTGAGGTTTTCCTGCAAAACAGAGAAAAACATGAGAGTGACTTCCCCAATCCACTCCTACACATCCAATGCAGCTTCAGAAGTGCATCTCAGTTCACGCCGCAAAACTGCTGTTTGCACTGCTCTGTACTGGAAACACAAAAGATTAGTTCAGCAGTCGGTACTAGTCACGAGTGGCGTTCAGCAGTCAGTACTAGTCACGAGTGGAGTTCAGCAGTCAGTACTAGTCACGAGTGGAGTTCAGCAGTCAGTACTAGTCACGAGTGGAGTTCAGCAGTCAGTACTAGTCACGAGTGGAGTGAGTGGAGTTCATGAGTGGAATTCAGCAGTCGGTTCTAGTTGCGAGTGGAGTTCAGCAGTCGGTTCTAGTCACGAGTGGAGTTCAGCAGTCGGTTCTAGTCACGAGTGGAGTTCAGCAGTCGGTTCTAGTCACGAGTGGAGTTCAGCAGTCAGGACTAGCTCAGCAGTCACACACAGCATAGCAGACACAAAACGTCACCGGGCCCACTCATCGTTTTAATCATACGCAGGATTTAATTATATTGCATGCAATTGATCTTACTGATATAGATATCGTACCTCAAAGTGATGATGTTACTGACCATTTCCTTGTATCGTGCATGCTGCATATTACTGATATTAACTATATGGCTCTGCACTATTGTCCAGGAACAACTATTGTTCCAGCCACCAAAAACAGATTTACAAATAACCTGCCTGATTTATGTCAACTGCTCTGTGTACCCATAAATACACATGAACTATACGAAATGACTAGCAACATGGGCACTATCTTCTCTAATACATTAGAAGCTGTTGCCCCCATCAAATTGAAAAAGGTTTAGTTCACTGACTAGCTACTCAATATCGCTTTCATTATCGCAGATGAATTGCCTGCGATAATGAACGCAATATTGCGTAGCTTGTCAGTTAACTATGGCTCTGTGTAGTAAATGCCGCTCCACCTGAAAGCACGTGCTGGAGATTTACTACTAATCACAGGAGCGGCTTTACTGACGAGATGCACATGAAAATTGCATGCGATTTATCGTGCAGCCCTCATGGGTTGATTTGTCAGTAATCTCTCCTGGTTATATCATCAATAGTTTCACATCATCTTAATGACTCATGCGTAGGGCTGGGACTAGAACGTAGAATGATTTTTCGATTAATCGTTTTTTAAAATGACATCGATTTGATATCGATTCTCAAAAGCCGCGAATCAATCTTTTCCGGGATTTATTTAAGCGTGGTTCTTAATTTCTTTTTATTAATTCACCATTTGTAAACTGATGTTTACGGTTAATTTTTTAGAAGTATACATAGCATTTGTATTAAAACTATATTCACTGAATGTAATAAAAAAAAAAAAATCGAATCGAATCGAGAGCTTGCTTCTATACTCTTTGGTCTCACACAGCCAGATGGAGGGAGATCTATATTCACTGAATGTAATAAAAAAAAAAAAATCGATTCGAATCGAGAGCTTGCGAATCGAAATCGAATCGAATCGGGATATCTGAATCGATACCCAGCCCTAGTGTTAACAAGCCGCGGCTGCAGAGTGTGAGCTGCTCCGTTTCACCAAAGAACTTCTATTGGCTTCTATACTCTTTGGTCTCACACAGCCAGATGGAGGGAGATTGTCCAGTATGGCGTTCTACAACAACACTTAGCTGCCCACAGATGTGCCTACCTATAAATCGGCCTAATTTGCAGCACAATCGGCCGATGCCGATTAATAAATAAAAAAAGCCAAAATCGGCCCGATTAATCGGTCGACTTCTATTCAGCAGTCAGAACTAGAGAAGAGAGAGCGGAGTTCAGTAGTCAGTAAAAGTAAACAGCAGAATTCAGCAGTCAGAACTAGTACAAAGCAGAGTTCAGCAGTCAGTAGTAAAAAGCATAATTCAGGACTCAGAACTATTTAAGAGAAAAATTTAGCAGCTAGTACTAGTAAAGAGGAGATTTCAACAGAAGAACTAGTAAAGTTTAGAATTCAGCAGTCCGTACTAGTAACGGACAGAATTCAGCAGTCAGTACTTCCAATGAATAGAATTCAGAAGTTGGTACTAGTAAAGAACAGAATTACTACTACTACTACTAAAAGGCAGAATTCAACAGTCAGTACTACGAAAAAACAGAACTCAACTGTTGGTACTAAGAGAACAGAATTCAGTAGTCAGTACTACTTAAGGGCAAAAATTAGCAATCTGTACTAGTAAAGTTCAGAATTCAACAGTCAATACTACCAAAAAACAGAATTCAGCGGCTGGTACTAGTGAATTACAGAATTCAGTAGTCAATATTATTAAGAGCAGAGTTCAGCACTAGTAAAGATACAACTAGGCAGTAGGTACTAGTAAAGAACAGAATTCGGCTGTTGTACTAGTAAATTACACAATTCAGTGGTCAGTATATTATTAAGAGAATTCAGAATTCAGCAGTCAGTACTAGCAGACTGGAATTTAGAATTTAGTAGGGATGCACCGAATGTTCGGCAACCAAAATTATTCGGCCGAAAATAGCAAAAAAAGCTATTACGGTGCTCGGCCAAGTCAGTTGCTCAGTAACATTTTTATGAATTTTTACAAGGCATGTGACAATGTGATATGTGCAACAAACATCTTCCCATACTCGTAATGAAAATCATTTATAAATCTGCTGTTGTCAACAAAAATAAGCTTTTTTCCAGAGGTCTTCCTGTGGGTTTCTGCCAAAATAAAAGCTGAGAAAAAGCAACATTAATAAATGTTATTATTGTAAATTTTACAGTTGTTCTGTAAAATAAAATAAAAAAGACAATAATAATGATAATAATTACAACAGCTCTGTTAATACATTTATTATAGCATTCACACAGTGTTCAGACTGGGATCTGTAATATTTTCTAATGTTTTAAAAGCATTCTCTTCTGCTCAGCAAGGTTGCATTTATTTGTACAGTAAAAAAATACAAAATACAAAAATACAGTATAAAAACATGCCTGATTCAAGAAGGTCTCAAAAATGGCCAAAAAATATTATTTTACTAACTTATTAATTTTAAGTTAAATTGTGTTTTATTGATATAATGTCTGCTAGAATGTTCAGTGTTAAGTAAATATTTTTAAAGCACATTTTGGCAATGGTGAAAAAAAAGGGCAAAATGGGGCGAAAAACCGTATTCGGTCTTCGGCCTTCAGCCCAGTGTTTCATTTTGTTCGGCTTCGGCCAAGAATTTTCATTTCGGTGCATTACTAGAATTTAGTTTATATTGGCCATTGAGAAACAAATGTACAGTATGTTCTTCTGCCATAAACTCTAATTTATCAAAACGTCTGTCTACAGCTGTCTACTGCCAACAGGTGACTCCAGAGACAGATGCCCGTGTTTGTGGGTCAGCGGTCGGTCCGAGGTTTGACTCGGGCTCTGTTTTTCAACACCTCATCCTGTTTTGAGCGGTTAGGCAGATGCAGTCCTCTGGGTATCCGGCACAAAGCAGAAGAGGGTGTGTGTCCAGGCTATATTTGTCCACGTTCTGCTCGTGTGGTCTAATGCACTGGAGAAACCGCCTGCGTGACATATTGGGGCTAAAAACTCCTGAATAATTTCTTTCAGGAGTTTAAAAGGCTCATGACTGCGAGTGACACGTTCTGGAGGAGCTCACAGCTGCATTACACAATCTCACCATTTTCTCTTTTTTTTTTCGAAAAAGGAAACTTTCATGAGAGATTTTAGATATCTTGATAGTTAAGTATTTGAAATGACTTCTCAAAAAAAAGTTATTATCAGAGAAAGCATCATTTCAACCAAACAGTAGATAAAAATGAAAGAAAAACAAGTCGTCCAAATGATCAGGTTTCTCACAGTTTGTCACTAAATGAACACGAGGAAGAATGACATTTTATCTGTTTGATGCTCAAAACTTATGCAGCCCTAGTGAAGACAGAAACCTAGCCACTAGCCAGTAACGTCATTTCACTAAGATGATGTCATCCAATATAACAAAACGTGACAATATCAATTCAATTGGCAGTGAATGGTGACCTCCTTTAAGCTGTTAAAAAAGGGATGCAAACGCGTCACAAAATAATCCCATGCATGTTAATGTGTATATTCTGAGCACATACGGTAGGGTTTGGTGAGAAACAAACTGAAAATGTAGTTTATTATTAGGAGAAAAAAGCACAGAAGCACATCATTTGCCGAAATCAAGATTAGTAAAAACACGAGGCCTATAAACATCAGAAAAGTAGTGTAAAAGTCTTCTCTGAGGTGTTCTCTGAGATTTTATCTGTTTGATGCTCAAAACTTATGCAGCCCTAGTGAAGACAGAAACCTAGCCACTAGCCAGTAACGTCATTTCACTAAGATGATGTCATCCAATATAACAAAACGTGACAATATCAATTCAATTGGCAGTGAATGGTGACCTCCTTTAAGCTGTTAAAAAAGGGATGCAAACGCATCACAAAATAATCCCATGCATGTTAATGTGTATATTCTGAGCACATACGGTAGGGTTTGGTGAGAAACAAACCGAAAATGTAGTTTATTATTAGGAGAAAAAAGCACAGAAGCACATCATTTGCCGAAATCAAGATTAGTAAAAACACGAGGCCTATAAACATCAGAAAAGTAGTGTAAAAGTCTTCTCTGAGGTGTTCTCTGAGGTCTAACGCAATATTTTTATACGTGTTATTAATTAAATTGCTTTAATATACAACTAATTAAATGTTTTATGATGAAACATTTGCATTAGTTATTTATAATGAACTCTCTGGCATTAACCGGCTCTGTTCCTGAACAAACCCGTCAGATAGAAAGCATCGCTCTTTATTTATAGCATCACGTGTGCAAACATCCTGACAAGAGTGCATTCACATGCATCATAAATCATAAAGGTCATAAACACATCTGATGAATGCTGTAACGTGACAGGGAATGACATACTATAGATCAGCAAAGCCTCTAAAAATAACAGCGGCCCAGAAATGATCCGTTCGGTTGAATCACATTTATACATCTCTT